TCTCTCTCTCTCTCTCTCTCTCTCTCTCTCTCTCTCTCTCTCTCCCCTCCTACCTTCTCAGTCTAAGTCTACTCCTGGGTTCTCCTACGGGACTACTACGAGTATGAAGGATGGTTACCAGTTCTGATGATATTGGAGACAGCGACATCGGGACTGTAGGTTGAGGACTACTCTTGGGATCTGATTTCATCTTCCTCTGAAGATGTACCTTGACATTGTGAGATCGATATCTGAGACATTGCGAGACACTGTGTTCGTGACATTTCGGATTTTCGCTACGTCTGACATTTCAAGACACTGTCTTTGGAGTTTGGAAACATTGAGCTGACGTCATCTTCCCTCTCCTCCTCCCTTCGTCTCTCCTCTCTCCATTCGTCTGTGTTTGATCTCACACCCTGGCCTTTCTTCTATGTCCAAGGCCAGGGCTTTCACACCACTGATGCATGATTGAGGATGTTCAATTGCAGTCTGAGTCAGGTCAGAGTCAGTCCATGGGTATCAACTCTTCCGCTGTATTTGTATTAACTGAGTTTAACTCTGTATTATCTGGTCGGTTCTGAGAATCTGCGCCATACTTATGACTGTGTTTCACGAGTATGCAACAGTTACCGAGAAGAAATCCAAAGTGGGAACATAGTCGAGCAAGCTATATAGCGGGGATCTATTCTGTTCTATATTGCTTGCTGTAGAGGTACACCGTAAAACTGTTTCATTGCTGTATTGGATCATCTCAAGTGTGCCTCATTGTCTGCAATAGAGGAGGTAAAAAGCTGCTTCGATTTTGTATCTACTCATCTGGGTGGAACAGGGGCTGTTGTGGTGCAAATCTACAACACACCCACACACCCACTCACTTCTGCAATAGGCGGTGTACGCTCCTTCCTGTAGTGGTAATGTGGCACAGTGCTTGTTTCCTGATTATTGTGGGTACGAGTGCTTATACCTACAAATGGTTCCACCTTTAGAGTGCCCCCTCTTATTGCCCATGTCAATAATGCCTACTCCAGCCCCTTATTGCCCATGTCAATCCCTGCTCCATGTTAAGTGTACTCTCTAGGTGTTTTTTTTTTTTTTTGGAATGGGCGGCAGCAGTCTTGAGATCTATGCATATGTTACTGGGCCCAGGTAATTCGAGATTTTTTTTTTTTAATTTTTTATTAGTAGTCGGTCTTACTCGTTAAGTTCCATCAGCTGGATTCGAACACAGGTCTGTATTTCAACAGTTCATGGGTGTGGTCCCCACTGAGCTAGGCTCTTGGGTGGTAATTCGAGATTACTATGGAAGGCATCGGAGTTTAATATTTATTGTAGATTATGTGTCATGATTATTGGTTATTAAGCTCCTGTTATGACTGGCACTGAAGCCTCTGCAAATATCGTGAAATTGGGCCAATGAACCCCGATAGGCATCGTAATTGGGCCCTGGATGTCAGCAATATGATGATTCGGACTGAGAAGAATGCTTTTTATTGGGTGTGTCCTGAATGGCCGCAGCAGGACCAGCGAAGCTACGTCCACGCGGCCTGATGCTCCCCACATTGCCACTGGTTTCAGGGCGGCACAACGCACCCCGCCGCCAGCGAGCTGCCAGCGTGGGCTGGCCTTGGCCACATGGTCCCCAAGCCACTGAAAAGTGATGGGGGCGGGATTTGAACCGAGCACCTACTCGGTGCCTCCAGGTCCTGAGATATCACCTGAAGCCGCGTCTCCCATAGGGCCCTTGCGATGTCAAGGCCTGACCTGACGCAGATCTGTTCCCGGTTCTGACCTGACCTGAGGATGTTGACGCGCGGGTTTGCGCGGGCGCAGCCAGCTGTAAAAAACACTCATGGCTCACTTCTAAACTTCTGGAGGCTCGGGGTACCGAACCACAATGGCTGGCGGCACCACCAACACTAAGAGAACCGAAGTGCGCCGCTGCCGCATTCAGCAAAGCTTTGTGCGCAGTGCGATTCCGCCTTGCTCGGGTATACTGGTGGTTTAAACCGCCAGTACCTTTCCCGTACGTCGGCCACGGGACCTGCGCGCCAAGCATTTTGGGATGTCTCTGGTATCTGGTCGGCGGGCGTGCCCGGGGCCCTGCCTCCGTGTTCGTATCCGGCGGGCCATTTCTTTTTGCCTGGGGTACTGGCAGTTTAAGGCCTGACCCCCGACTCAGTTTCGATACAAGTTCTTAGGGCCAGATCCCACTGGCAAGGATGATTGGAGTAAGTGTCTGAATCTGGACACGTTCGACGCAGAGATGCAGAAAAGCGGATCAATCACAGTTTTCTGCACCTTGCCACAAACACGTCCAGATTCCGACACTCATTCCAATCCTCTTTGCCAGTGGGATCTGGCCCTTAGACCTGGCGAGAGTACATGCAGTCGCGTGTTGATGTTTTCACATCAAGCGGCCGGGGGGACATGCGACAATCACGGTGCGAAATTCTGTTTTTTCTTGAGACCCGATGGACCACGGGGTAAGACATTAAACTGATCAGAAAATCCATCCTACTAGCCAGAAGGCCTGAAATTATCATACGACACTGGCTGCCCCTTTCTCAGAAAAAAAAAAGAAGGAAAAACAAAAAAGAAGAAAACCGCGGCCTGAAAAAATTAATGCCTATTTGTTGTCATGGATGTGTGGACCATGCGCTGCGTCGCAGATTCGCGCGGCGAACCTGAGCGGAGACTGTCACTTCAACCGGGAGCTGTTGCGCGGGCATCTGAACATCCGCGGGCAACATCAGGTGCGTTGTCTCTATGATGATGTCATCATCAATTCAACTCAGTTACTTTAAACCACCACTACCTTTTCCCATGCGGGCCGCCATCGGGCCCCCGAATCTTTTATTTGGAGGCCGAAACCAATCGACGGTCACTGATACGATTTATCAGCACCGCCGCCATGTTGGTAATTACTAATTACCCTTCTCTGTACCGTTTCCAATTTTAATAATTACCCTTCTCTGTACCGTTTCCAATTTTAATAATTACCCTTCTCTGTACGATTTCCAATTTTAATGGATGCTGTAAACTCCTGAACCGAAGGGCAGAGGCATCTGGAAAAGAAAGATTTGGTCAAAAAGACTCAAAACGATTAATAACCGTCGTACTGCAGATGGAACACATAGGTTTTTCCAGCCAACAAACAATGGATGGCAAACTTCTCGTTCTCTTTTTCATTTCTGTCTTTTTGTTCTCTTCTCTTAAACCACCGCTACCTTTCTAAAAAATTCTCATGTGTGGGGCCGCGGGCCTCAAATTCAAATTCGGCTGCTACGCGACATCAATATCGACGCTCAACCCGTGCCTGATAAGCCCCTAAACCTTAAATCACCAGTACTTGGCGCATACATCAGCTGTGGGTCTCTCACTTCAGCGTACCACGACTTTTTTTCGGGGCTCAGGACCCGGAGCAAAATGGCTGGCAGCACCATCAGCTGCGGGTCTCTCACTTCAGCGTACCGCAACTTTTTTTGGGGCTCGGGAACCGGACCTTAATGGCTGGCAGCACCAGCCGAAAGAAAGGTGCGCCGGTTCTTTTTTTTTTTGGCGCGCAGCGCGTTCGCAGCGTCAGAGAATTTGAGAATTGCTTCGGACGTACTGGTGGTTTTAACAACCAGTATCTAGCCCAGGCAAATTTGAGAATTGAAATCGCGGCAATTGGGGTTCTTCGGAAGAACGGTGCCCCCTGGCCCAAAATGGCTGGCCCAAAATGACGGGACCAAAATGCCCCGCGGTGCCAGCTTCAAAAGGAAAGGAGGGCACCACTGGCAGTTTCCTCCCCCCTCCCCCCCCTTGGCGTGCATTGCAAGTCCCCATCTGGAAAGAGAGGCTCGGCGGTACTGGTGCTTGAACGCCAACAAGATGCTGCAATCCTACAAAACCCTACCACCCAGCTCCTGACCACAGAGCTGCACATATCTATACGATTCTATAGACTTGAGCCTGCCTAAGGGCGTATGCACACTACCACTCTTCTGAACGTATCTGACCATAATTATGGTCGGACCTCGAGCTATCTGGCTGCATTTCCGTCCAGAAATAAGTAAAAATGTTGCACTGTGAGTATGGCCTAAATATTAATTAATAAATAATAACTATGCTTTTTTTTGGGCAATAATATTGATCTATCTAAGCCTGCACAGCCTGCTAGGGTTCTTTTCTTTTCTTTTCTTTTCTTTTCTTTTCTTTTCTTTTTCTTTTCTTTTTCTTTTCTTTTCTTTTCTTTTCCCCTTGACTTGTCGTCTCGGCCAAGTGCATTCAATTCTGGTGAAAAAGTGTAACCTGAACCTGGAGTCACAAAATGTTGATTAGATCTCCAAAGTGAGACGTGCGGCCTTCCAGTTGCCTGGAAGTTGAGATTGTACCTCTTCCCTATCTATCTTGGGATATCGGGATCGGCTGCGGACTCCTCGTTGACGCTGTCTGCTTCCCTGCAGGTGGTCCATAGCAGCATGCCTGTACCTCACAGAGCCTGAAGTGCCTGAGATATATATATATCGTCACAAACAGAACTGCCCGGTAAACCGTAGGCAGAGAGAGAGAAGAGGACAACAAACGAGGGGCTGTGACAAACTGTTTCGTCGGAGTTTCACCGACTCATCAGGAAGCTGAACCCTCAACAGTCT